TCATCGACCGTAAGTATTTTCTAACAACTTTTAATATTTTAAAACGATTACTATATTCTGTATATTTAAAAATATCACAGCTATACGATATATATTCTCTACTTTTGTAGTTGAAATAATAAAATTGAATTACATCTTTAAATGTATAGTTCTGATATTGTTTATTATATAAATTTGCTAAGGGAATTTTGTAACTACATTAACAAGTGAGAATACTTTTTGTAAGGCTCAAAATATTCCTGAAGTTGTTAAGAATTTTATAACTGCTTTTCAAAATGGTATTTATTTAAGGAAATTTATATAAAATTTAATAGGTTGCTTACAGATTATTTTAACTAAGCTATATATGTAAAAGAGAAACACCTTGTAAGTGCAGTTTTGAATAAGAGAAAGACACATGTGGAAGAAGCCACGAAAACTATTTTGGAAGGTCCTTAAATGTGGCTCATGCTATAAGAAACGATTTCATTTTTTTATGACATGCCTTGTTTTCAATCATCAAATTAATTTTAAATTACATTGTGTTTAATAGCGTTAAGCAATTTGAAACTGCTTGATGTACACTTGGCATCAAATTAATTTCCATTTATGGAATTTACTACTGTGCATATGCTACATTTCATATAGACATTGTATGACAGCAGAAATGACATGTATTAACAGATGTTGCATTCATATTCTTAACAGCACTATGAATATATGTAACGTATACTGGAGGAGAGGGAGGGGATATCTTCTGCTCCAGTTTGTAAAATAATTTAAAGCTTAAGTTAATTGTTTCAGAAAACTAAACTACTTTTTTTATGCAAAAGCTCTTGTGCAGGGATTCCAAACTTTTTTTTTTTTTTTTGACTTCCTTTAAAAGGATGGTTTTCTTCAATGCTTTCTCTATTATATGTGGCATGAAACATAATCATAATACAAATAACTGCACAAGCATAACTGGTAAAATCCTAGTATACGCTACAGCCTTGACGCGATTTTAAAAATTATCGCCAACACCAAAAATAACCCAAACAACGTTCTATGTATATACTATATATAACTATATATATTCTTTAAATGACCCGTTAATACTTCATCGTATATGCCCCGTTTTTACTGCTCATCATAAATTCGCCAAATCCCGTGTGAACAGGATACTAGGATTAAACCATATAACTTAACGATAACATATTGAAATATAAACAAAAGTTTCAAGAAAAATTGATACATCTTTATTATAGCATTTTCCTAAATTTAATTGGTAATCAATGCACTTATATATCTGTGTTGGCTTATAGTACCTCTAAATTTAATTGGTAAACAACTGAGATGTAATATGCAGTGAGGTATAAGAACACACGACAAGATTTCCAGAAGATATTTCAGTCGATTAGTGATTTATGTCTTGGGGGGAGGCTGCTGTAAGACCGATATACCAAAATTGTTTATTAGATTTATTTTATATTATTTTCTGTATTATTATTATATTTAATTTTACAAATGTAAACAAGTTTTTAGAAACAACATTACAGAAAAGTTCCATTTTAATTAATGCAAATGCTGCACTTGATGTAATGATGCATTTTTTTAAGTGTTCGGCATAAAACTGCTTGGTTCTTATTAAGACTACTTCTTCATTCGAAAATGCTCAGCCTATTTCTTTTTTTACATTGAAAATTCTCATCTTGACTAAAGAGTACATCTACTACGTTAAAAAAAAAAGGGAAACTCGATAACATTATGTGATAACTTTTATTTTGGAATATTTCTCTTTGATAATATTTAATTCCTAAACTTCCATTTTGAATAAGACTTCTGCTTGAACATCCTCCTTCAATATAATCAACTCTTCTTACATCATAAATATCTAGATCAAATATTGATCTGAAATTGCAATTCAGAGGTTCCATGAGCCACTGACAAATTTAAATTTCCAATTTTGCAAGCATCTTGTATATAACAATACGTTTTCTGAGAAAGTTTGCATTTTTATATTTTTGGTTTGGTTGTGTTTTCTTTGTTCCTGCATTTATTCTTTTATACTGTACTTTTGCATAAATAATTTATACATTTTGAAAATGGGATTTTAAACTTTTATTAAGTAATTTTTATTTTTTTTTTTTTCCCTTATATTTATTTTGTATGGTGTTTCTTCCTTACCACATGTGTAGTTTTATATCAATAAACAATTAATTATACATTTTTTATTCAATGGGGGCTTGATTATTCCTATAAATTGTTGGTGCATATTTGCAATCGACCCTTTTGATCCTCATTGACCTCTGTGGGTTCAATATCAAAAATTATAAATATCTAGCTATGGCTTCTTAAAAACTATAAATATCTAGTTATGGCTATTAAATGATTCTTAATTTTAATATGCAGCTTCTTCCAACAAAGTTTGGCTACTTTACATGAAAATTTTTTACATCCCTAACTAAAACCACAGGCACTCTTTGCACTGATATATCTGTGTTGGCTTATAATTTTTTCGAAGAGTAAAAAGAAATACAGTACAACATCCATAATCCGGACTCGTTGGGACTTCGGCGATTCCGGATTATAGATCAATTTAAATCTTGAAAGATGGCATGCAGAAATTATACAATTAAAATATGAAACTGTAATTTATAAATAAAGAGCCAATTATGATCTAAAGGGTATCAAAATTTACAAAAAAAAAAAAAACCCTTAATATTTATGTGTTTACTTTATTAAACATTTCTTTCAATGTAAGTTGTTTAAGTTGCTTCGTTTTTTGTGCTAATACTTTCTCTTTAATTCTATAAACAGACATAATTTCTTGTTCAGTTATAAAATTCCACTGTTCCTGTAATTGCTGTGTTGAGAATCCCGACTAACTTGTCAATCGAAATTTATTGTTTTCAATAACCTCTCTGTCACTTTCTTCACTATCTATCGGAAGCGGTATTTTCTGGATTTAGAACCATACTACAGATTTCACCGTCCGTTAATTGATTGATGATTGGGGTATTGTCGTCGCAATGAAAAACTTCTGTTATATCATCTTCATTTATTACCGCTTCTCCACATTTCTTTACAAAATCCAATAACTGGAAAATTTCACCTTTAGTTTGCGATGTCCAAAAACCTTCAAATTCGCGGCTATCATCTTCATCGTCCTCACCATGAAATATGGTAGCTGGCCATAAATTATGTCAATCATTTTTTAACGTATCTGGAGACACATCCTCTACGATCTTGCGATGCTCCACACGGCAGATTTTATGCTAAAAAATTTCCTTGTTCAAGAAATTTAACATAGATTTTTAAAATGCTACTTTGTATTTGCTGATATATATAATATCAGTAAAGATAATTTTAGCCTAGCTTATACCATCTGTTTAACATAAAACACGCATGCATAAAGCATACAAAAAAAGTTTGTGGCTTTGAGGTCCGGATTATAGATCATTCCGGGTAATGGATGTCCGGATTATGGACTTTGTACTGTATTAAATTGCCCGCTAAATCTGCTATGCCATCGGTATGTCTTCAGTATCTAAATTGTTACACACACACAATGTATATGTTTATGTATATATATTAATTTTATTTATATTTTCTCTTAATGTTTCCTCTATTTACAGGACCACGAGCAATATAATTGATGAGCCTTCACTCCCTATCGAAGACACAATGGAGTCATTTAATGACTCCATAAATTTTGATGAATCATTAAATGAAGAAGCTGCATGCAGCAGCCAACTTGTAGATGGTGAAGAGATTTTAGAACCTCCACTTAAAAAGCAAAAGAAAAAAGACATCGATTCAAAATTGTCGACTTATTTAGATTTGGCAGCAGCAGCACGATTAAAATCACGGAGCCAAACATCAGATGATGAACACTTTCTACTAAGTCTCCGTGATGACTTTGGTGCTGTACCACGGGGGAAAAAAAATGAATTAAAAAGAAGAATGTTGGAATTAATTGCAGAATATGTAAAATAAAAAATTATGTTTTTAATTTCTGTTTTATTATTTAAGACTATGTACTATGAGCATCATACTTAACATGACTTTAAAATTATTATTTAAGTGTTATGCATATTTTCTTTAAATAAAAACTAATTTTACATCCTATTAAATTAAGTAATGGAAACAAAAAATCTACTTTAAGCGTGTACACAGCATAGACATTTCAGGAAAATATAAAAGTGCATCGTACATTACAGAACAAGACAACAAAATGCCTCGGCAATAAGTATAAACTAAATTTTTAGCAATGATAAAAGCTGAATGATCTGAAAAAGGTATACAGAAAATAGATGTCAATAATGTCAGCATAATGATACACATCTTAACTATTGTAATGAATCTACATTCATGCCTAATTTGTCTATGTTATACTTATGGAATAACATTTACAGCCAGGTTTCGTATTGTAGCAGATCTCTAACAGAAAATTCATTACTGTAAGGTACAAATTTATTTCTTAGCTAATATTTTTTTTGATAATTTTATGCTTTCTGGTGAGAGAAATCTTATTTTGTTAATATACATCATATAGTCTTTAAAAATATTCATAATGCAGAAGTTTTATATACTTCAGGAAATAAATCAGATAATAAGGAAATAAATAATATAGAAGTACTGTGAAAGTAATATACACTTTGAAATTATTTATAATAATCACAAAAAGTATCAAAGTGAGCTGTGCAATGCTTACATGTTTTTTCCAACCTGTTTTATTTTTTACACATTGTACATGTATATTTATTTTGAAATAAAAAAAAATATTATTTACATACATTTATCTTTAATTTGGGTGCACTGTCAGACCTATTCTTTTATTTTGCCAAGAGAGTGCTCCTTCATTTTCAAAATAACTACAAAATAAATCACGAACAGATCCAGAGGAAAATGAATAGTTATTGTTCCCTAATCTAAGAATTCTCACTAGACCATTGTTTGGAGATGTATCATCTCGCCAGAGTCCATTAGCTGTCTCAAGCATGGGTCTGTCGGCAAAATTAGGTGGGCAGTATTTATAATTATGAGATATAGACTCGTATTTCATCAAGAAATTGTGCAGGCAGGCAGCAACATGCCTGAACAACTAATGTTGCTGTCTGAGGCTGTGCAATAATTGGATTCCGTAAAATCCTCCAGCGAGCAGTCAAAATACCAAATGTGTTTTCTATACATCTTCTTGCCCTGGAGAGCCTATAATTGAAAATCCTTTTTGAATTACTTAAGTTTCTACCTGAATATGGACGCATGAAATTTTCTTTCAGTCCAAATGCTTCATCTCCAACGAAGACATGTGGCAGACATTTGGAGCTTTTTGGTAACTTTTTGTACCCAGGCAGAAATTCTTTATCACGAGAAAGCTTTTTCCCAAGGTTTGAAGCTGAGAAAATGCCTCCATCACTGATTCTGCCAAAATTTCCAATGTCCACCATTGTAAATAAATATGAAGCATCACATGCAGCCATCAAAACGATGCTGTGTGACCCTTTGTAATTGAAATAGGTAGAGCCAGCATGTGCTGGAGCCTGAATGACAACATGTTTGCCATCGACAGCTCCAACACAATTTGGGAAGTCCCACACTGTGCCATATTCTACAGCTATTCTCTCATAATCACTTTTCTCTGGCTCTTTTAGATATACCGGCTGAAGAGCTGTCCATATAGCATTGCATGTCTCAGGCACCACAACTCCTACAGTAGATTTCCCAACACGAAAACTATATGCCAAAGAACTGTAGCTGTTTCCAGTTGCAAGGTGCCTAAAAAGAATATATATCACAAAGATTAAATATATGTAAAGTATAAATCACAACACATTTATAAACATATCAAATTGAAAGCAAGTTATTTTAAAAATACATCTACCAATGCATTATTTCACAGTTTATCATTTCAGCATAATTGGCAAATAAGTACTTCGATCAGAGTTTACATTCTTTATTGAGTTATGCACTAAAATATTTACTTTATGTTTAATATGGTAGATGTTTCTAAATAAAAAGAATGACTCTTAATATTAGAACTGCTGATGAGAAATAAATATATATTTCAATCAAGAAAGAAAATCTTCCATTTTGATGAATCATTTGCTTTTATTTTAAGTAAATCAAGACCTGTTTAGTGACTGATGAGTATGGCGTATAAAAGCGCTGTCCTAGCTGGATTCTTCGTTTTCCGTATGGATTTCGAACAGCATGCATCGTTACACCAAAGCAGAGCTTGCCAACATGCATTTCATGTATGCATAAAGAAATGAATTAACTGTTCAAAGAATGTACAAGGAGCAATGTTACAGGGAGGTCTTACTTAAACCAGCTGTTTACAGACAAATGTGATTCCAGCATGATGGAGCCCCAGCTCACTTCAGTGGGAATGTCAGGATTGGATAGGATGGGGAGGAACTGGCCACTGTGTTCTCCTGATTTAACCTGTTTCGATTTCTTCTTTTTTGGGGTCATATTAAAGGCTTCGTGTACAGGAGTCCAGTCACATCTGCAGGTAATCCTTGTTTCCCACTTGTCTGTTGTTGCTGGACATGTGCTCGACATACCTGACGTCTTTTCTAAAGTACGCTGATCCATGTGTCGCCACTGAATTTTGTGTCTTTGTTGGTAGCCACTCTTTCAAATGCCTATTGTAAACTGTTAATAATTTTTTTCTTTTGTCTTTACTTGTCTTTTCAGTTTCCTGTGATTCATACTGCTTTACGTGCTAGTCTTTAATGCGACATTACCACACATGCATTCCTATATGAAATCTGCTTATTCAGGTCCCCTCTGCCTGCCTTTACATTTTTGACATATAGTTTTGAACCACCCTGTATATGTACTCAGAAAAAGCTGTAATGTAACACAAGATAATACTCTTTTTCTAAAAAAATTACAGAGTATCATAAAAATTGTTACATTGCCTATTTTTAAAAAGACGTGTTTTACAAACATTGAAATATTTATTCTTGTATAGTGTTTCTGAAAAGGCATTCATATTAATTCATTTGCATAAATTACCAATGGACTATGTACCTTTCAATAATAAAATAGTACTAAATACACCATTTGAAAATTTAGAATCACATACATAAAAATTCAAGTTGAATTATTTATTTACATTTTATTTACCTCATTCATCATCAATAAACACTTAATGGTATATCTGCCTATTATGGGAGGGGGAAAACTTTCATGAAGAACTTTATAAAAGGAGTTCGTTTGTAGTTCTAATAATTATGCAAACACCCATGGGGAGGGGGAAAAAACATGCACCTAATAAGTTCCACACCTCTGGAACTAAGATCAGCATTTAAAGGTTTTAGTCACATAGTCAGTGACAGGCTTGAATGACTGAGAGTGTTTGGTTTAAAGGTCGGTAAGCAAGAAATAGAAAAATAAAAATGATTATCTCATTTGACATTCATATAAATATTGCAGAATAATTGAAATCAAATGAATGATAGAATTTATGCTTTTTTAACAACAACAAAAATCCTGCAATCAATAATAAATAGCGATGTTTGATATTCTAAATAAAAAACAAAAAGTAAAGGGTATCATGCATTAGAGTGTTTGTCAGAACAACTGCTAGAAGTTAAATTTTTAGAGAAAAACTTTTAATTATGAAATCTATTTTTCTTTTATTTTCCTTATTGTTAATAATTTATTTAAATTACAAGTCCATTATTAGTTGATGATAAACAAGAATAAAACTAATAAATAATTAATGTACTGCAGTTTCTTGCTTAAAGGGTTTTTTAAATTTCTTCCTTTAATCTGATTCACAATTTAGCACGGCTTAAAATCAGCTGGAGCCTGGCTTCAGTACTCCTCAATTTTTTAGTGAATTTTTTTTTTTTTTCCAGGCAGAGAACCCAAATTAAATAAATTTTTTACTTTAACATATTTTTTATTATATATCATACATTTATAGGATATATTTTATAATATTTTTCAGTATATTTATAGGAAATGCAAACTTACCTCAAACAAATGCTCAGCCTTTCTTCTGGACTCAGTGGAGCTCTCATATTTGTCTGATTTTTAATAAGCAAGGTGCTTACTAAAGCTGCAAGTCTGTCAAACTGGTCGATACTCATCCTGAAGTAATTAAAAAATAATTCAGGATAATCGGTTCGCATACGAGGCAGTAAAGAAAAAAAATCTCCTTGAACAGGTCGCTCTAAATAAATCTTTCGAACCCATTCTCGCCGTTTTTTGCGTTTTTGCCGCTGCTTAATGACTGTACTTAATAGTAATGTTTCAGCTATCCAAAAATCATCTGAATCTGACATCGTGTAGCAAACTTACAGAAAGACAGCTGCTCCGTTTACCCGGGAAACAACGCTATCTGACAGCGTCACGTGATTATTTTGCGCCAAATAATTCTATTGGTTAAACGCACTCGTCGCAAGCGTACTCGTTTGGACGCTGTTACGCAGGTAACGTAAATGCGCTTGCGTTATCTACGTCGGGAGCGTCCTCGTGTGGACGGGCCTATACATGCTTTCTGTATGTGGAGGTGCGGATAGAAACGGAGCTACTGCTCAAAAGATGTCTGGGGAATCGCTCTCTGTACCTTCTTAGAGCCGTATTAGTGATTAGTGACGGTGACTGCCGTACTATGGAACAGGGGTCCAATATTGGCAAAAGCATGAATGGTTTTAAGCGTATAGTGTCTGTGCGGGAAAGGGACATTCAAAATAGACGACGAAACGAAAGTTCAGAAGCGAGGTTGGTGGTAGAGAGAGATAATGGAAGACCCTCTGTCTGCCTTCTCAAAACTGAAATTTTAATAGTTAGCAAGCCAGGTCTTACCTTAAATATACCTATGGGAATGCATTGGTGCCTGCCTTGCTTCAATAGTATTCATTTTATCTACGAAAATGTAGCTGTCTAGATCTACCCAAGCTGTATTGCCTCTTCACAAATTCCAAATTTTCTCCGAGCATGTAACTAAATCCGAGATGTCAGCCACGAACGCGGGACGTGTCGATAGAATTGGTCACTCAACAAGTCATCTACGCACATGATTATAAGCCTAAATTTACGTGAACAGCGACTTTAATTAATGTTCTCTATAACTTTCTAAGAAAGAGACGAATCAAATGTGAGCTGCTCTGAAAATCCGGGAATATGACCTCCAAAGTTCATTCAGTCATTAATACATAAAAAAAGATCTGGAGCTCATTTTTATATTCTAGATAATTTTTTGGTTCGTTGTTTGGATAGGACTTGTTACAAGAGGACGTCAGCAACACTTTTTTTTATCTCATAAGTCTGAATTTCCGGTTTTAATGTTGCCTTTAAAAATGCGTTATTTCGATATTACCGGTTAACTGGATGCTAGTTACGATATATTTTACTGTATAACACATTCATACTAGGCGTGAATGCAAGTATTAGCTAGAAAGCTATGAATAGAAAAATTGAAATTAACAACTTAACTTCTTCCGCAAGAAAAATAGTAGTTATGAAAGTTTAATGAAGTCTGATGCTTGACCGAGCTAATACTTTAGACCAGCAATTCTCAACCGGTGGTACGCAAAGAAATAAATATTAAGAATTAGATTAAAAAAATCTAAGATTAAAGACAATTAATAGAACATTCCAGCAATCGAACTTTAACAGAAGATTTCAAAAATAACACACTTGTTTACTTTTGGCTGAATCAAAAAATAAAATAATAATAATAAATAAACAAATAAGAATTTAAAGGGATTTCAAAAATAGAGCTATCAAATTTTTATTGTCTTTTTGCACAACCTATTTGTGTGAACAAGGAATTTCTTCGAAGTTATATTTGAAAAATAAATACAGAACAAAATTAAAAGTGGATCTTAATTTACGGTTAAAATTAAGGAAAATTAGACCAGACATAAAGGAAATGATCTCTCTAAAACAGACTCAAATGTCACACTAAATTTTAGAATTAAAGTATTATAACATAAATTTTGATAATTAAAATGGTAACTAATTTTAAATCTAATATTTTTATGTGGGCATATTTAATATAAATAGCCAATGGGTTGTGCAAATGGCAAACTAATTTTTTTTTAACATTTCTATTGAGAAATTGAAAAACAAAATCATTGTAACATGTAGTGATGGTATTAAAATATTTCAGTTTTTGCTTAAATTTTATGCTTCAGTCAAAAGGTTGAGAACCGCTGCTCTAAACCATGTCAGTTATCGAAAGCAAATAAAATGGCCCTTACATAAGACATGTTACCTTCTTTACAAGGAGTCGTCCAATAAAATGGTCAACTCATATGATTCCTTCTTTTGGGAAGGTTTTATTTAGACATTATCCTAAAAATAATGATGGAACTCAAATGAAGACGTTTCAGCATTGCAGAATTATTCTTTGAGAATTGCTTACCTTTGAAAATGAAAGCTCACTGAGTTATATATTGTTACGAATTGTACAGGCGCAGTAAGATAGCTTCCCCGCAAAGCAGGTTTAGGATTGCCATAAAATGGCAAGGGAAGGAGAGGTTGCCACATTTGGCGATATGCCATGGACGGATGGAGAACCTTCTGGAACGAATTCTTATCGGTTTAGCCCAGAATGCTCTTGAACACAAGCCGAAAGCTATATAAACCCTGCTGGTCCGCAGTCAGAGAGTGCCTCGTTGAGAGTGCGAGATAGTTAGTCTCGAGTTTAATCAGTCCGTAAGGAGACGATCGAGTTGACAGCCGGCCAGTGAGTGCCGAGTGGGTCGTCGAGTGCATCGAAGAGTCTCTTAGTGTATCGCGGTTAGTGCATTGTCGAGAGAGTGTGTTGAGCTCCGGGAACGACTGAACCGAAGAGTCGGGTGCTGTTCCCTGTGTATCGTTGAGTGCATTGCAAGTTGTAGCGTGGAGAGTCTCGAGAGTACGTTGAGTTCCGAGAACGACCGAGCAGAGTCGGGAGCTGTACTCTGGTGCTTTGCAGTGAAGCTGTTTCAACCGTTATAGCCTGATAACCTGAAGGCTGAGCCGCTGATTGTTCCAGCGAGTGTATAGTAGATCTTCGACGACTGTAAAACGTGACTTTGGAGCTGTCCTGATTAATATTGGCTAAATAAAGTGTGTTTCGATACATCATCATCAAGTGCTGTCGTCATTATTCACTCCAAATCCTCATGAACTCCGTACGAACCCGTAGGACGAAAATAACATAACAATGTTTTTTCTATGTATCCTAAACTTCTAAATAACTGTTTTGTAGGTATATTTAAATAATCCCCTTGAAGCAGTGTATCAGTGATTCAACTACATCTCAACTACTCTAATGCAAATAAATTAAAATTATATCATAAACCGAGCACAATTAATTACAGATACTAATTAACATGTCATTAGCGATAGATGCTGCGTTGCAAACTTTCCTGTTCGTCCATCTGTGTATATGCAAACATATCAGAGTTCTTACCCCCTGAGGTGTTAATAACTAGAAGCATCTGTAATTGAGTGCGGGCACTGAAACCCAGATTCTAATCGTAATTTCCATTTACGATATGAACTTCTGAATTTTAAACTAACTCTGAAGGATTATAAAACTCGAGATATTTCCGTCACCCATTTCCTACATTCGCGAGAACCATTAAAATTCACCCTTACTCCATTTCACACTTGTGAACTAATCACTGAGCCTTTGATACCCGTTTTCCTTTAACTCTTTTATTTGTATACGCTTTTAAAAGTGGCAACGGTAACGAATTCAAGATGGATGCTTAACGGAAAATATCGTCTACAGCAATAAATGAAGTTTTAAAGCCGTATTCAAACACTCGCTTATGATCGATCAAAGCGCAAGAGAGTGGTATTATAAGTTAGATTTTAATTTTATCTTCGAGTACCAAAGTAATTAATCGTAATTATACAACGCGGTTAGCTTGCTCCTAATCGATTAATTAATTTTTATTGCTCTATTTCAGGGCAGAATAATGTTGGATGAATGTAAGAACCGTTAGATTAATGACTTATATCGAATCTTGGTATTATTTTGATAGAAGCGCAGGATTAATGATTTTAATCGGATCTTAGTACTGTGTGATGAGTTTAGCGGTTATGAAAAGAAATCTGAAGACTATTGTTCCGCGAATTTATATTACATACAGTTTAAAATAGCTCGGGAAATGACTGAGGTTTTTAGCTCCCTCCAGCTTATATTTATATTAGTAAAGGTGGAATTGTTTTTGGTCCCAAAATTTGAAAGTAAGCTCTCAATTAATAAGAGTGAATCAGCGTATCCACAGCACGTTTTTACTATTCTTAAAATCATGTTTGTCTGTCTGAGAGCATATATGATGATTTTTTTACAACAACACGTATATAAAATTTTTCTTTTGCGTATTTATGCTTTCTGCATTCATATAGAGTTGATTAGATTTCGGATAAAATTGGACAACAGGAAGTGGAACTTTGCTTATGATCGAACAAAAAAAACAAAAAAAAAAAAAAAAAAAAAAAAAAAAAAAAAAAAAAAAAACACTTGAAGCCTGTAACAGTTTTTATCAAAAAATAATATTGAAAAAGAATTGAATTTCTGAACAGGTTTTCGTAAAAAAAAATATATTATGATATAATCCGTGACTTCTCAAATTTTGAATTTAAAATTCGTATATGTCTGAGAACAACATATTAGATTTTTGACTATAATACACTGGTGTGCAAAAATTAAGGACGAAGTCAAAAAATTAGCACATCAGCTGAACGAAGAGGCAGAGCGGACAGAAAGACCAATCAGGAGATTAAGTAAGATGATGTACGGTAGCACATGCGCAGATATGCAGGTAAATGTAATGGGGGAGTGTCTGAGTAGTATAAAGCATGTTGTCGGTGTAAGATCGGTATTTCTGGCAAAGAGATTACACGCCGTATAGCAGTTAAAATCACACCGAGTTGCTGCCTCAGCGAGAAATGGCGAATAATCAATCAGTTAGACGACACCTGGATGCTTTTACCCGAGGTCGAATCATTGGGAAGTTGGAGGAAGGCCGCAGTGTGACAAGTGTGGCTGCAGAGTTCGGAATTGCTCACAGCATCGTTTCACGACTTTGGAGACAATTTCAAACTACAGGAACAGCTATCCGGGGTTTAGTAGTGGTCGTCCACGAGGAGTCACACCCGCAGATGACCGGTATATTGCCTTACAGGCCAGAAGAAACAGGCGGCAGACAGCGGGAGAAATCGCTAGACACACGACACAGGCGGCTGGACGACGAATATCGCGTTTTACCGTGGCCAGAAGACTGCACGGTGGTGGTCTGTTTGCAAGACGCCCTGTACGGTGTGTACCTCTAACGCCTGCTAATCGGAGAAGGCGTTCTCTGTGGTGCCGGGAACACCGGAATCGGAGAGACAATGAATGGGGACGAGTACTCTTTACAGACGAGAGCAGATTCAGTCTGAGTAGCGATTCTCATCGCATACTCATCTGGAGAGAGCGGGGAAGCCGCAATCATCCCTCGAACATCGTTGAAAGGGACAG